GAGGCCAAGGCAGGAGAATCGCTCAAGGTCAAGAGTTCGAAACCAGCCTGAGCAAGAGCGAGACTCCGTCTCTACTAAAAATAGAAAGAAATTAATTGGCAAACTAAAAATACATATAAAAAAAATTAGCTGAGCATGGTGGTGCATGCCTGTAGTCCCAGCTACTCAGGAGGCTGAGGCAGGAGGATTGCTTGAGCCCAGGAGTTTGAGGTTGCTGTGAGCTAGGCTGATGCCATGGCACTCTAGCCCGGGCAACAGAGTGAGACTCTGTCTAAAAAAAAAAAAAAAAAAAAAAAAAAGCCTAGAAATAAAGTAAGGAGTGGAGTAATATATAGTCTAGTTGGCTCCACCTTGGGGTTAGTTTTGGGGACAGGTTTGTGAGGTGGACAAAGGGTGAGATCAAGAAATTCTGTTTTTCCCCCTTGTTTTTAAAACATTTTATTTCATGCAAATTTCATATGGTACAAAAGTATTATATGCTTGAGCCTGTCTCCCAAATTGAATTTTTTTTTTAGTACTTCAAGCCAACTTTCCTTCAGAGGCAAATAAATAAGAAACATATTATATAGAGCATATATAGAAAAGTTTCTTTTATAAGAACAAAATTATCTGGACATTTTATATTTAGTAGACTTTAGCAATCCAGTTTATGTTTACAAATCAAGTTCATTGTTAGGAGGTTCCCATTACACACAAAAAGAACTCAACAGATAGCAGCTATTTTAACCTGTGAGGCAAAAAATATCTGATTTAATTGTTTTCTTGTATTTTTTGAAGAAGATAATCCATCTGTAAATTCAAGTTTGGTTGGTCCTTTTTAGTCTTTTTGTTCAATATTTTGAACACTTCCATTTTCTTCTTTTTGTAGCACCTTTGAGCTGCTTCTGTCACTTGTTTTCTTCTCTCAAATTCTTGTTTCTTAGCAGCACACTTGGCTTGTACCTGCTCATATTTTTCTTGTGCTTTTTGATTTGATGTTTTCTTTTTATTTTTCTTTGGATTATTAAAGGACTTTACTGTCTTGCTACACTGCTTTTCTGCCTGAGGCTTGTCAAAGCTACACTGATCTTCAGACAAAGCCTGGTCAGTGCTGTTCTGTTCTTTAAGCAAAGGCCGGTCACCTTTTCTTAGTTGCTTCCTGAGTCTTTCCTCTACAGCTAAATAGAGATGTTTCAGATGATCTGGGTACCGATCTTTGAATTGGGATTCCTGCGATGGTTGAGCCTTCTCCTTCTTCCATAGCAATTTCCTGTAATTTTGCTGAATCTTCAGTGTCCTTCAAAACACAAAGCCTTGTCCCTCATGAACGCTCCCCATGAAGGCTTGCGAACAGTTAGGCTGCCATACCCTCTGTTTCGCATTCTTATTCTTGAATGCGACTGAAGATCCCCCTTTGCAAAGTGTCCCCAAATCCCCCTTCCACTGCCACTGTGCCATTCTCACTGGCACCATTTCTGCAGACTCAAGATCAAGATTCTTGAAAAAAATGCCATGAAGAACAAATAGGTGGGGAGAGTACGCTAGATGAAAAGAGAGTAGAGAAAACATAACCAAATATAATGGCTGCAATTTAATTGAATTCTGGTTTGAAAAAATAAAAACCACTGCAACAGAGGAGACAGCTGATGAAATTTGAATATGGACCGGAAATAAGAAGACATTGAGAAATTATTGCAGGTTCTCTTAGGTATGAAAATAATCTTGTGTTTCTGTTGGAAAATGTCTTCACGCTTAGATCCATGTCAAAGTTCTTAGGAGTGGAGATGTCTGTATGTTATTTTCAAACGAATCAGCAAAGGAAGTATATGTAAATGGAGATCTACAGAGAAAACGTGAGCAGTTGTTGCATCTAGGTGAAGATTTTCTAAATACTATTTTCGACAACTTTGTTTGAAATTTTTCAAATAAAAATGTTGGGGAAAGAAAGAGAATGGAGGGACTAAGTTGGCAAGCAAATAACTTCCTGGCATCTGAGTCAGGCACATCAGCAGGTGTTTGTGGCCCCCAGTTGCCTCACCCCCTCTACCAAAGACTGGGGAGAAAAGCCTGGTAGGCGGAAATGACAGACCCTTCTCTGATGGTTTCTGTGTATCGATTCGGCTTATTAGCAGTTGTGACAGCTTGCTGCTTGGATTGCTCTCCCTTGTCCAGAAAGTGAGGGACAGCACTATCCTCACAATAACTCAGAGGAAGACATTAAAGCTCAGAGGGGGAGATATTTTTAACCATGGTCACACAGCTGGCCTGTGGTGGAACAAGGACTTGAACCCAGAGTCTTTTAACTGTAGGATCCAAACTGTGAACTCCAGCACTGGGCTGGCATCTGCAGAATCTCAGGTCCACCATGGAGCCTCACATTTGAAGAGGGTTGCTGACAGATCAAAGCAACCTTCTTTGATCTGTCTGGGAATCTTGTCCTATGAAAAACATTGGGGATTTATTTCTGTCTGGATAAAAATGACTTGGGAGAATGCAATGACTAGACCCAAACTCTCAAAGAAACATTATATGGCAAAGCAAAGAGGTTTATTTTGCACAGCAGGATAAGAACAAGTGATAGATTTCAACATTCTAAGGATAAGACACACTTATTCCAAATTGGAATGGGCTGCTTTGAGGTACTGAGCTTCCTGGCACTGAAAGTATTCAAGCAGAGGCTGGATAGCCATCGGTCAGGCTTTCTACTCTGAGATGCTACTCTCCTCTTCTCTCAGTGCCTATGTAATTTACCTACCACACAATGCACCCATTTTAAGTGAACAATTTGATGGTTTGTAGTAAATTTACAGTCATGCAACGATTACCACAATCCAATTGTAGAATATTTGTGATTGTAGTTTTTGCTTCCCAGAGATTATCAGCATCGAGGGTAGATCCAGGTCTCACTTGGCTGTGGTCTCCACTGGCCTAAGAGCAGTTCTCTGTGCTCTGGCCTTCCCACCAATCTCCATCCTCTCTCTGTCCATTCAGCTCACACCACCCTGACACATGCTATTCCATGTTCCTGGGCTCTGGGCCCTCCCCAGATGTTACCACTGGGCACCTTTTGCTTCTTTCCCTCTCCCTCTGCCATGCTCTGGGGGCTAGTGTCTTCGTATTTGGCAGATTCCAAGGCAGCAGTGTGTACTCAGAAGGATGTGGGTCCTGGTGCCCCAGCCCTGTATTTGAATCATAGCCATGTGGCCTCCAACAAGTCACTTTTTCTTCTTGAAGGTTAGTGTCCCCCTTTTGTAATGCAGATATAATATACAGGCCTTGCTGGGTGTGAAGTTCAGAGATAATATATATAGGTAAAGTGTCCAGCACAATATCCAACATGCTCAATACATGGTAGCCATGATTACTGCTGCCACCTTCATTATTATTGACACTCAAATGTCCTCTGCTCTGAGTGCCTATTTCACCTTTCTCTTCCAGGCATATCCCTGTTCTCTGGGTCTCTCCTGGTGTCTGGCACTTACTACAGGCAAGGAGATGGTTTCCCCTACACTTGGAAACCTGGTGGTAGACCTCAGCCAGGGCTGCAGGCAGGTCAGCTGGGATGGAGCACTAGCACCACCTAGTGGCAACGTGCAGCAGAAAGGTGACTGGCTTGGTTGCCAGTCTTGCATTCTTCACATGACCTGATGTCCAGTGCCTTTGCTATCCTGTCACTGTTTGAATCCTTCAGTTTGCCCATGTATATCTATATTCCCAGAATGTTCTGATACACAGTAGGGTAAAATCTTTAAAGTCAATATTTAACAAAAATTATACCACACATTTTATGGTATGAATTTTCCCCCATAATATCAACTTCATTATTATCAATAAACAAGGTTTACTTTTGTTAAAATTCAACTCACATTCCCCTTCTCTATAATTTGAATATATATCTTTTGAAAAAGGAATTTTATAAGGTTAAAGAAAGTGTTCACGTACAAATACGGCCAACAGTTGTCTGGGCAAAAGAGTTCTAGACTACGGAGTGAACCTAGCTCATCTCCAGGTCATTTTTATTAATATCTGGAGGAAAACATAAAACATGTTTCCAAATAGTTCATAAGATATTATTGTTATCCAGAAGAGGGAGGTAATGCCATGCAGAGTGGTCTAGACAAGAGATATTTTCATAGCAAAATTTAGCACCAACTTGGGGGCAATTCAAGGGGTAGCGAGGAGTTTCATCCCCAAAATTAACTTCTTAATTCTCTCCCAAGCTCTCAGAATTCATAGGTATGTGGTTCTGGGAACAGAAACTAACCAAAACCTTAAGTTGGAGTAAGATAACTATACCGGGGATGACTCCGTCCCAGGAGTGAGCCTCCTGCTTCGTGTGTAAAACATTCAACACGGAGCAGGGACGTGGAAGCTGAACCCAGGACAGTGACACCAAAACACAAACTCAACCCTTCACTGGCCTGTGGGGCTCTGGGAAAGAGCTTCACAGCCTCATGCTGGGTTAGTGCCCCCAAAAGTCTCCATTTGGCAAATAAGGGAAGGAACTAGTATAAGGATTGGGTATTTTCCTAGCGTTATGAAAATGAAATTGTTGATACTCTAATGAAAAAGATCACTGATTTCTTTAAATACAGCAGGTTAAACCAGGAAGTCTGGGCTAAAATATAAGTTAAGGGAAAAGTTCCAATCTGAACCTCTTCACACTTGCAGTAAGCAAGTACATTTTCTTCCTTGAGGATCATCTGCTTTAAAGCACGGAAAAGTGAGCTGCTAACTCCCACAGTGATGGGAAAGAATGACAATTCCTTCCTTTTTACAGAAGGGCACCAAAGGCTAACAGGACTCCAAGTATGCAGAGGCGTCAGAACCAGGACTGTAAGAACTGAACTCAGTCCACTCTCCTCCCTTCCCCTGTGAAGCCCACCCTGGCTATCATGTCCCAGTGAGCCCTCTGGACTCTTCCTTCAACTGCAAAAATGATCATCAAAGCTATTGAAATGGAAGGTAGCATTCTAACATTGTTTTTTTAAAAATATAATAATGGTTTTCCTATAGGGTAGATAAGGCATGGTTCTTATAGGGTAGATAAGGCACAGTTCTTACAGGGGTAGATAAGGCACGGTTCATATAGGGTAGATAAGGGACGATGTGAGAAAGCTGCCTCTGCCCCCAGCTACATAGCACACGTGGCTCCTCACATGTGCACGTGCACAAAGAACAGGCCAGATGATTTTGCCACAATGTGCAGGGAATGGATCACTTTCCATCACTTCTGATTTGCGAGCTGGTTAGTGAACCAGTCCAGACCTTCATAAAGCCCATCTTCATTGGTGGCACAAATAGCCTGAATGTGCCAGTTTCTGTAGTGGAAGGAATTTAAGCCCAACTTGTCCGTTATCTCTGCTGTGTTCATAGCATTGGGAAGATCCTTGAAAGAGAAAATTCAAAAGTCAATTTATAACGCTGTGTCCAGATAATGAAACATGCTCTTCCCTGCCAAATGTGCCCTAACCCACAATCTTCTCTGTATCAGTTGATGACAACTCCAGCCTTCTAGTTGCTCAGGCCAAAAAGCTTGAAATCATCCTTACTTTTTCTCTTTCTCAATGTCACAGCCAATCTGTCAGGATGTCCTAATGGCTCTACCATCAAAATACATTCAGAATCTGACCACTTACCACCTCCACAGCTATTACCATGATTGAACCCATTGCTTCTCACCTGGATGACTGAAATAACTTTCTAAATGGTCTCCCTGCTTCTCCTCTTAACTTCCTAAAGCCTATTCTCAATGCAGCAGTCAGTGAAAGTTGGCTCAAATCACTCTTCCATCAAAACTCTGCAACAGCTCCCTTTTGGGGTAAGAGCCAGAGTCCTTACCATGATCCACAAGGCTTTCAGAACCAGACACCTCTTCTAATTAGTCTGCTCTATCCTTTCAACTGGCATTCACCACATGTTACTGTATTATAAAATTTATTTATTTATATGTTTTTTATTTACTATCTGTCTCCCCTAAATAGAATGCAAGCTTTACAAGAGCATGAATCTTTGTCTATCTTGTCTTCCAATGTATCCCAAGTGCCTAGAAGTGTTCCTGGCACAGAATAAGCTCAAACTAAATTTGAGTAAATTAGCATTAAAGAGAAAGGTAGATCTAGATGTACTGATATGAGAAGTCTTCAAAGATATGCTAGAAGGTTGCAAAATAGAATGCATAGTATGATCTCTGGAATTTAAATAGGAATATAATCATGTAATTGCTTATTAAGGCATAGAAAGTTGTATCTCTGGAAGAGATATAAGAAATTTAACAATAAAGAGTTCTGGTTTTATAGTTAAAAACAGGGCTAGGCATGGTGGCCCACACCTATAATTCCAGCACTTTGGGAGGCAGGAGGATTGCTTGAGGCTAGGAGTTCAAGACCAGCCTGGGCAACATAGCTAAGACCCAATTTCAGTCTATCTACAAAATTTTTTTTAAAAAATTAGACAGGTGTCATAGTGGGCCCTGTGGTCCTAGCTACTTAGGAGGCTAAGGCAGGAAGATCATTTGAGTCCCAGAGTTCAAGGTTACAGTGAGCTATGATCAGGCCATTGCACTCTAGCCTGAGTGACAAGAGTGAGACCAAAAACAAAAACAAAACAAAACACCCAACCAAACAAAAAATACTCAGATTCATTATTTTCTTCTTTTGATGGTCATTATGTTCAGTAGTAAAAACTCCAGACTGACATCAAACGTGAATAGTAAGATAATGGTTGAATGAATTGTGATCCATCTACCATTTAAAATCATCTTCACAAAGAATTGGACAACAAGAGTAAATGTGCTTGATAAATCTGAAGTGACAAAACAAGATGCAACATTGTCAAAACAGTATGATCTCAATTATATAACAAATAGACTCATGAAAGGAAAGTGGAAGGAAACATCAAAGTCTAACAGTGGTCACCTCTGGCTGGTACAATGCCACATGATTTTACCTTCTTTTTCATGCTTAGTTCAGCTTAGAATCCTGAGGATGGATAGTTCTACACTTGGCCCTCCTCCCCTGCCTCCTTTACTGCTTTATATGTATATACTATAGAAGGCCTTTATCCTCCTCCATGACAGCTCATGCTTAGTTCAGCTTAGAATCCTGAGGATGGACAGTTCTAAACTTGGCCCTCCTCCCATGCCTCCTTTACTGCTTTACATTTATATACTATAGAGGAAGGCCTTTATCCTCCTCGATGACAGGCCCTGTATGGTCCAATCTCACCTCCCTTGCTCTCCTGCTCATTCTGTTCCAGCTGCACTAGCTGCCCTGCCGTTCTTACAATCGCATGGCTCCCTCTCTTCTGGCCTTCTGGTCTCTGCTCAGATGTCATCTTGTCTGAAAGGCAGTCCTAGTCCTTCCCCATTCCTATCCTGCCCCCTCACTCCACTTTACCTTCTTCCACAACACCTACCACCCAACACATTACATGTTCATTATCAACTGACTCTCCTTCCACCAGCAAGTATGCTAGTGGAATGCATGGATTTTTGCATCCATGCATCTTGTATCCATGAATGCAAGGATTTTTGTCTGTCTTGTTCACTGATATATAACCAATACCTAAAATCAAGCCTGGAACTTAGTAGATGCTCAATTAACATTTGTCAAGTAAATGAATGAATTTAAGACATTCTAAAAAGGAGATGATGGGAGAAGTTATGGTTAATAAAAACTGGGAAGAGGGAGGCAAGCATCTAATTTAAATCTCTTTCTATGTGTGTGTGTGTGTGTGTATGTATGTATGGTTATTTTTGGGGGTTTTTTGGGGGTTTTTTTTGAGACAGTCTTGCTCTGTTGTGCAGGCTAGAGTGCTGGGGCATCAGCCTAGCTCACAGCAACCTCAAACTCCTGGGCTCAAGTAATCCTCCTGCCTCAGCCTTCCTAGTAGCTGGGACTACAGACACCTGCCACCATACCTCACTAACATTTTGTTTCTATTTTCAGTTGCCTGGCTAATTTTTTCTATTTTTAGTAGAGTTGGGGGTCTCACTCTTGCTCAGGCTGGTGTCAAACTCCTAATCTCAAGCAATCCTCCTGCCTCGGCCTCCCAGAGTGCTAACATTACAGGCATGAGCCACCTCGCCCAGCCTAAATATCTATAATTTTAATTGAGACATTTGGCAGTACATTATAGTTCCAGGATTCTGAAAACCAACAGCACACCTGTTTATTTGCAAACACCAATAAAACTGCCTCTCTGAGCTCATCTTCCGTTAACAATCTGAATAGTAATTCCTGGGCCTCACCAATCCGTTCTCTGTCATTACTGTCAACCACAAAAATCAGACCTGGAAAGAAATCACAAGCATGTTAGTAATCTGAACTTGAAAAGAGAGCAGCTATTTATATATCTTTATAGCTTCTCACTGGTTATGTGTGTGATTTCACTAAACACAATCAATATGAAAGGATATATAATCTCTACAGTTAGGAAGACTCACTCAGCAGTTCATGTGACAATAATGATAAGGAAAACTTGGTGTTTATCTGACAGTAAGTCGTTTGAGACAAAAAGGTGAAGTGGCTGCCAAAAAAACTAATTTGATCATAGGCTGTATCACCAGTAGTGATGGTAGCTCAATTTCTAGGATGTGGGTGAAACTAAGCTTACTCTACTGTGTATCGGTCAGAACATTTTGGGGACAGAGACATACCTGGGCAAACTGGAGGGATTCAAAACATGACAGGATAGCAAAAGCATTAGACACCAGGTCATATGAAGAATAGTTGATATAACTGGGGAGATTTTACTTAAACAAAAGACGCAGTGGGGGGCGCATGGCTATCCTCAAATAGCTGAAAGGCTATGACATAAAGAGGTTCAAAGTGTTTTACACAGCTTTGTAAGGCGGACTGAAGATTGTGGGTGAAAACTACAGGAAGTCAGCATAATAGAGTCAGCAGAACTGAAGATGTAATGAGTTACCTCAGGAGGTACTCCTATCACCAGAGATATCTCTACCCAGCTTAAGCTACCAACTGGTCGGGATACTGCGTAAGGGACCCTGGTAGGCAAACAGTAGTGGGATGAGATGACCTCTTGGTTCCCTTTTACAATGAGATTTCATGACTATGTTTAGGAGAGGAAACCGGTGCTAGCCTTGTTCCCTTTCCCTCTGTGCTTCCCAGGCCCATGCCTGAAGCAGCTGCCCTGGAGCAGCCTGTGCTCCTGCAGCTTCTGCACATTTGGGGCTTGCATGTGAGTCAAAGTCGTGTCTGCTATATCACATCAGGTTAGAAAACGAAAAAATGCAAAACATTCAGAACTCCCCTGAAGATTTGATAGGCTATCAGTAGTTCTGGTCTCGGATCATAGCTAAGCAAGCCAGGTTATCAAGAAATTCAAAATCCTTAGTCACCAATACAAAACTGACAGGGAGGAAGCTGACATACTATCCATTTGCCATTCCTAATAAAAGCTTTATAATATTAGATAGCAGTTTATACCATCTTTATATAAGTCCTCACCTAAAAACCTAGCATCAGACCGACCACACATCTGAACTAAGAGAACCTATAAAAGCTATATTTACACATGAAGAGTATACTATGTGTTTTTTAATAGAGGATATATACATATATGGCTGTTTGTATATGCATAAAATGTCTAGACAGATACACAAGAAATAAAAGTGGTTGTCTAGGGAAAGGGAACTGAATGATTAAGGGACAGGAATGAGACAGTGACTTTTCACTGTTGGCCCTCCATATGCATGGGCTCCGCATCCATGGATTCAACTAACCACAGATCAAAATTCTTCAGAAAAAAGAGCTGCACCTGTATTGAATGTGTACAGACTTTTTTCACCATTGTTCCCTAAACAATAGAGTATAACAACTATTTACATAGCACTTACATAGTCTAGCCTTCATATGACCTGGTGTCTAATGCCTTTGCTATCCTGTCACTTTTGAATCCCTCCACTTTGCCCATGTAGATCTATATCCCCCAAATGTTCTGACTGATACACAGTAGGTATGCTTATTATCATCCATATCCTAGAAATTGGGCTACCATCACTACTGGTGATACATCCTATGATCAAATTAGTTCTTTTGGCAGCCACTTCACATTTTTGTCTCAAAGGACTTACATTGTATTAGGCATTATCTGTAATCTAAAGATGATTTAAAGTGTCCAGGAGAATGTACATAGGTTATATGCAAATACAACACCATTTTATCTAAGGGACTTGAGCATCCTTGGATTTTGGTATCCCCCTGGGGGTCCTGGAGCCAATCCCCCTCAGACACCAAGGAAAGACTATGTATCCTTTTCTTATTTCTGAATTTTGAACCATATAGGTATGTTGCCATTCAACAAATTGAAATAACTGAACCTAAAATCAAGGAGAGAAATCTTTCCACATAATAACTAATGGACAATTTTATATATTACATATATATATATATACACACACACACACACACACATACATATACACATATATAGAAATCACATAGGGGCCGGGCGAGGTGGCTCACGCCTGTAATCCTAGCTCTCTGGGAGGCCGAGGCGGGCGGATTGCTCGAGGTCAGGAGTTCGAAACCAGCCTGAGTAAGAGCGAGACCCCATCTCTACTATAAATAGAAAGAAATTAATTGGCCAACTGATATATATATATATAAATTAGCCGGGCATGGTGGCACATGCCTGTAGTCCCAGCTACTCGGGAGGCTGAGGCAGTAGGATCGCTTGAGCCCAGGAGTTTGAGGTTGCTGTGAGCTAGGCTGACACCACGGCACTCACTCTAGCCTGAGCAACAAAGTGTGACTCTGTCTCCAAAAAAAAAATAGAAATCACATAGGGACTGGGTTTAGGGTGAAAAACAGAAAAAGAAAAGAAATCACATAAACAGTTCAAATTTCAATCTATACAAGTGAAACATACAAAATCAAATGTCTTAATAGACAGCTAAAAGCATCCATTATGTTTTGTCATATTTGACATACTGATGAAGAAAATTTAAATTAAAAGACAGCCTGATCCTTAGAAATTGGCAGGAAAAAAAGGGGACAGCATCTAAGACTACTCATAGCTGAGACATTTGTTTGAGCCAGAGACAGCAAATCCATTCTTCAAATGGCTCCCAATTTTTACTTCATGAAAAGTCTAGATTACCCACCCCAACATCCTAGAATATAGCTAGCTCCCTGCCATCAAAATAATAGTTACTGAAATTCAGCAAAATTAGGCTTGTTATAAAGAGATTGAAGAAAAAAAGGCATTTCAACTTGGCATTTGAATGTGAAAAGTCTCAATAGGGTTAAAAAAGGAATCCTGCCAGAGAATGATGAAGAAACAATCTGGGTTTCTATCTCAGTGCCTGCTACCTTCTAGCCACAAAACTAAGCATTTCAGAAAATCAATCTCATTTAAGCCCAGTGATGCAGGCAGTAGGTATTATCTCCATTTTAAGATGAGGACATTGAGACAAAAGAGATTACTTAACTTTCCCAAGGTTTCATAGCAGAGTTGTGGTTCAAGCCCACATGTTCTAGCTTTATTATGGATGAGAAACTGCAATGGTTTGGCCAAGTTGTCTAGTGCCAATCCAAGATACATGGACACTCTGAGTATCAAAAAAATATTATCTGCAATAGATTGAAACACAACAATATAAAAATATAAGTGTCACCATGGAAGTTGTTAGGGTATCAAGTGGTTTCTCCAAAAATCCACAAAGGAAAAGAATGAAGAATTTTTCCTGCCTTTCTTGTATAAACTATATTTCAGGGAAACCAAGTATTTGATAAAGAAATTCTTGATTTAGGCCAGGTGCGGTGGCTCACGCCTGTAATCCTAGCACTCTGGGAGGCCGAGGCGGGCGGATTTCTCGAGGTCAGGAGTTCAAAACCAGCCTGAGCAAGAGCGAGGCCCCGTCTCTACTATAAATAGAAAGAAATTAATTGGCCAAGTAATACATATAGAAAAAATTAGCCGGGCATGGTGGCACATGCCTGTAGTCCCAGCTACTCGGGAGGCTGAGGCAGGAGGATTGCTTGAGCCCAGGAGTTTGAGCTGGCTGTGAGCTAGGCTAACGTCATGGCACTCACTGTAGCCAGGGCAACAGAGTGAGACTGTGTCTGAAAAAAAAAAAAAAAGAAATTCTTGATTTAAAAGAATTTCAGCTAATAAATTCAAAAGGAATAAGAAGGTGTAGGGAGGAAATCACCATTTTGTAATTCCTAACAAAATAATGGATCTAGGCAATGGTCTTTAATGGATGCTAAAATCATTAGGTAAAAGGTAGAGAACTTTAATTTGGGAGAATTAGGCTGATACCATCAGCCTGAAACCATTTGGCAACACAAAAAGTGTGACAGCCTGCTGGTTGCCAGTGGCTGGAGGGAGAGGGGTCAGGGAGTTATTGTTTATGGATATAAAGTTTCAGTTTTACAAGATGAAAAGAGTTATGGAGATGGATGGTGTAACCATAATGGTGGCTACACGACATTATGAATGTATTTAATACCACAGAGCAATACATTTAAAAATGATTAAAACATAGCTGAGCATGGTGGAGTACAGCAGTAGTCCCAGCTACACAGTAGGCTGAGTCAAGAGGATTACTTGAACCCAGAAGTTTGAGACCAGCCTGGGCAACATAGTGAGAGCTTGTCTCACAAAACAACAACAAAAAACAAGAACAAAAAAGAAACACCAAAAATGGTTAAGAGGGCAAGTTTTATGTTAATGTATTTTACCACAATAAAAAAAAAAGAAAAACATAATTACCCAGCAAATCCACTCCTAGGTATATATATCCAAAAGAATTGAGAGTAGGGACTCAAACAGATACTCAAACAGATACATCAATGTTCACAGCAACACTATTCAAAATAGCCAAAAAGTGGAAACAACCAAGGGTCCATAAACAGATGAACGGATAAACAAAATGCAGTATATTCATACAATGAAATATTATTCAGCCATAAAAGGAATAAAGTTCTGATACATACTACAACATGAGTGAACCTTAAAAACCTTGTGCTAAGTGAAAGATACCAGACACAAAAAGACAAAAATGGTTTCACTTATACGAAATATCTAGAATAGGCAAATTCACAGACAGAAGGTAGAATAAAGGTTACTAAGAGCTGGGGGAAAGAGGGAAAGGGGACTGGGCGTGGTGGCTCACACCTGTAATCCTAGCACTCTAGGAGGCAGAGGTGGGAGGATAGTTTGAGCTCAGGAGTTCAAGACCAGCCTGGGCAAGAGTAAGACCCTGTCTCTACTTAAAAAAGAAATTAGCTGGACGACTAAGAATATATAGAAAAAATTAGC